CAAAAGCTTCTTTTATTTCCAATGGTTACATATATTCACCCATTTCTGGATTCTATAAAGTGGGAATTTATCTTCCAAAGTTTTCAAAATGTTTTAGTTGAAAGATAAAAGACCAGGGCAATTCACTTTACAACAGGACTTGGTACCGGAAATGAGTCATCCAGGGTTCTAGCCAGCATCCGGGTGGTGACAGTTCGGCTTTGTTAACAAAAAAGTGGAGTTGTCCTTTTCCTGAGTAGCTGTGAAAGCTATGTAAGGGACACCCTGAAAGTGAAGAGGGCGCCTCCAAGTCAGTCTCCATCCTCTGAAAGTCGGTCCTCTCTGAAATACCCAAGTGTCACATAGCGAGCGAGTCATGGCTTCTTGGAAGTCAGTGAGGACCTTTGGTAGCAGTTACGCTGGCAAGCACTCTTACTCTCGAAAGCTCTGAAAACTCCAGTTCTCAGAACCACTTAACAGGAAGCCTCACCCAGTAGCAGAGGAAGCTGAGGAAGGAAGGAAAGATGGCCGTGCTGGGGGAAGGGGAGGCAGATTAAACAATGAATGAAGTCACAGCTCTGGGATTCTTTGTGGTCCAGGACACACCCCACTTAGATGCCCCGCCAGTCCAGAAGCGCGGCTCAGCATCCACTCTCTTGCTGGCCTGGATTACTCCTTTCCCAGGTTGGCTCAGAAATATCCTCAGGGTCCCCATCTCTGGAGGCTTCCTCTCCCTGCTCCTCATCACCTCCAGTCTTTCGACTTAGCTCTCACCTCCTCCATGACCTTCAAAATCAATGTTCATCTCTTCCCAAAGAAGTAACCACTGACATTTTTTCCCACTCCATCAGACCACAAAGTGGTTTACAATTTCCTCAGAATGTCCACTGTATTTTACTCCATATGAGGAATCCTTTTATCCCTTCTACAAACTTAAATGTTTTATCCCTTTATGAAGTTTTTCAATCCGTTAATCAAGCACTTATTTAAAAACCTACTGTGTGTACAATAGCATGTTGGAAATTTGGGGATAAGTAAGAGAATTCCTGCATTCTGGAGTTTATAGTCTAGTGGGAGAAAACAGGCACCATCAAAATAGTGTCCTCATCTCTCAGTTTGGGCGTCTGCTGGTTGAAGGTGGTCAGGGAAGACGGAAGCCTTAAAGACAAGTGGGAGGTGGATGAATGAACGTCCAGTGGGTGAAGGCTGTTCCCAGCAGGGAGGACAGCATGGCAGAGGGCCACAAAACTTGAGCAGACCGTGTTCCAAGAACTGCCTACAATTGAGCGTGGCTGGTGGCTAGAAAGAAGTCAAGCAGGGGCGTGTTCTGGAGAAGGGGAGGGGGGAAGGGGCAGTGAGCAGAAGACCGATGGTCAAGGCTTTTTGGGACCTTGCTAAGGAATTCAGTCAGTTCATTGTGCTTGCGTGGCCTGTTTCGATGGGCTGTCATTTGTGTTCCAGGTGTTTTGGTTTGAGTTCTCATGAAGCAGAGTCTGAGACAGAGTTTCAAAGGCAAGTGGGTTCATGAGGCCGTGATCCTGTGACAAGTCAGGACAGTGCAAGTCCTCTGGTTTGGGTGTGTGTTCTTCCATATGCAAAGGTTTATAACGTCCCTGGGAGGTGCTGTGGGCCTTTAAGAAGTACAGCCTGGTGGGAAGTCCTTAAGCCAGTGGAGGTGTGGACTGTGAAACCTCATTTTTTTCCCCCTTTCCCTCTGGCTCATTAGGTTATGCTGTCATGCTCTCCTGCTGTTGGCATCTGGAACCTTCAGTAGAGGCCCAAAACCAACTGGGCTGCCCAGTCTTGGAGTTGAACCTTAAAAACTCTGGACTAGACAAGCCTCCTTTTCTTCATAAGTAGAGTGTGTTAGGTATTTGCTGTATTAATACAGGCATGGCTGATGAAGTGGGAGGTAAGTCAGGAGGTGGTTCAGGAGCAGGAGAGCTGGCAACTCAAAATACACCAATACATAGCTTGTTGCTGTAAGCAGGTCAAGTCAGACCTCTAGAAAACCGTAGAAGTACTTTGGAGGCACCCTACCTCAGGATCAAAAGGTCCAGGAATCATTCACCAGTTCCCCTCAGGCTTCCATTTAGAGCTGTTCAAACGGCCTGCTCTGTGTGAGGCACTCAGGAGAAAACCCTTCAGACAGACAGCCATGGATGCTTGAAGAAGCCTTGGCTGATGATAAGGATGTGGGCGGGACATAAGCATCTACTACATCCGATTCTACATACGGAAAAATGAAGGAAAATATGGAGGGTTTGGACCTTCACTCTTTCAAAGAGTCAGGGCAGGAAAGACATGGCGGTGCCCTCCAGGGGCTGACAGAAGACTGTGATGAGGGGTGAGTCACCGAGGTGTGGGTACCTGAGGGAGCCACAAGGAACAGGGGCTGCCCCCCTAAGTTCACACCGTCAGTCAGGGAGGTCAGTCAGGATTAGCCCTGCTTCTGAGCTGCCACATTTGAAGAGGTGGGAGCCCTGCCTTCTCCCTGCTCAGGTAGGGTAACTCTGAACCTCATCCTCTTTCCCAGAGCTCTGAGCCCAGTGGCTCCTCCGTGCACATTCATGCCAAGCTGCATGCCTTGTGACGCTGCCCTCCTTCACCCGACCCACTTCCCGACTCCCCTACACCAGGCTTCCCAGCCTCACCTCCCAGGTAATCTACCTGGTGGACGAAGGCGAGAGCTGGAGTCAAGAGAAAGAGGTTGCTCAACCCAGGTGTCACAAAGATAGAAAACTGCAACCCTGCCAAGTTCCAGCTTGTGTGGCAGGAAGCTGAAGGCAAAAAAACACTATGTGCCTTTTTTCTTGTCCAGTTCCCCAGCCATGGGTGCTGAGAGCCAGAGGACAAGGAAGTCCCAGGACATGCATGGTCCAAGAGAAGTATCTCCTGGGGCTTGGAGCAGGAGGGATGTGGAGAGGACACTTAGCAATGCCCTTCTTCCACACTAGAGTGTGTCTTTGTGACCTTCCCTGTCCAGACATGTGTCAGAAAGCTCCAGACTTCACGAGAGCACCAAGTTTCCCAACAGCCCCTTCTGTCGGTAGGCTTTTAACCGTTAGCTTCCATTGGCTTCAACGTAACTGGATCATCTGGGCCAAGAAGGTGATTAGAGCCATTCTCGACTGAGCCAGGGCCCGAGCCTTATCTGTCTTTGCAATCAAAGTCAAGCGTCCACTGCAGTACTTCACGTCTTCCCAATAAATGGGAAGTGTTGGTGCTTGGCACTGAGTGATTTATTCAGTTCACCCGAATATTTTCATAATAGTTCAGTTGGCCGTTGGAGCCAGAAATCAAATGCCTGATTCCCACAGACAACTTTTAGCTTTGAGTTTCTTAGTTTGACCATGAGCTAAGTTAATGTGTAACTTTAGATGGGACCTAAGGTGAGAATATCTGTCTTCATGAGGCAGAACTTCATACAAGTCTCCACAGGGTGAAGGATGTAGATGGATGTAAAACTGTTTAGTCCCAAATGCACCTACGCTAGCACTTCACAGTCAGACAGATCGGGGTCCAAAGGTGGGGATATCCTGTGCAAGCTTACTCTGCTGGGAAGGGTGGATCCAGGAAGGTCATATATATTTCACTGGCTCCAATGTCACACTCGTCTGTTTCGGTATGGGTTTCTGATGTAATATTGTTCAGAAAAGCACACTATTTGCTTCTAGAACTTCAACCAAAAGCACACCCAGAGTTGTCATCGTACAGCCTTTAGTGACAGTGTGAGCATGCTTCCTGCAGTGGTAGGTATGACTTCTGCCTAACTGTCACCAGTGTGCTCTTAGGCCTGGTCATCTGTCATCAGCTACTGGCCTGTGAGTCTTGTTCACTGCATAACCTTGGGAAAGCAGATCAGTCCCCCGTGACTCAGTTTCCCCATCACCAAATTGGAGTGAATGGCCATTCTGGGGGTACAATAAACACTAAATGAAGTTAATGGTGCCCGGGATGGAGAAGACGGTGGGTAAAATCCCAGTGTGATCGTTTGGATTAGCTAGCATTGCCCTAGCCACCCGATCATTCTGTAGAGAAATGCCTTCAACCCCTAGCTTGCCCTCCAGAATACAGAGATTCACCTGGAGAGGCTAAGAAGTGTGGGAAGAGGAGAGAAGGAGAGGGGGCCGGGAGGAGTACACAGTGGCTGGGTGCTTTTATGCCCTGGGTGATGCCACATGTGGCTAGGACAAAATGAACTAGCCAAGCACGTGGCACATTGAGAGGTGGAGATTCTTGTCAGAAACATGATTTCCTCTGTGGTTTCTCTGAGCTATTTTTGTCTTTGCCAAATGACCCCCTTGGGAAATACAGCTTTCACACACTCACCCCGTGTGTGTGTGTGTGTGTGTGTGTGTGTGTGTGTGTGTGTCTGTCTGTCTGTCTGTCTGTCTGTCTGTCTGTGTATACACACACTACCTCTAAGACTTGAAAGGGGAAGTGGTAGGTTTCCCTGGAGAGGGCAGGTCAGGACCTGGGGCACACAGTATGAACCCAGCACCGGACACTGGCAGGCACTTGGGATTTTCCAGACAATGGAAGGCTTTGAGTGACGTAGGTTGTGAAAAATCAACCACCCTCCTGGGCAGAGGACGACAGTGTCTTGGTGGCAGGTGGTGGCTCTGGCATCTTGGGTCATGTTGAGCTGAGCTGGTCTGAGGCACAGTGGCTGCTGCCTCATCTCTAAGTTGAAGGTGGGGCGAAGTCTGAGTCCTGACTCCCTCCTGAGAGAGCCGGACCTGCAAACCCAGAGAAGGAAGGTGTTCACCCTGTCCTGGGGTTCCGAGGGCTGGCAGAGGTGTCTGATTACTTCTTTATCCCTTCTCTCACTTAGAAATCCATTCTTTCACAGTCCTAAAGGACAGAAATGCACGCTGAGAGGGCTGGCCTCTCTCTGCGGGCTCGCACAACTCCCGCACCGCTCCCCCCCCATCCCCCTAGTTTCTGGCTTTACAGGAAATCTCTGCGGCTCCTTGGCTCAGAGCCGCAGAACTTAGTCTCGGCATTCTCTTTCACAGGTCTCCTTCCTCTGTGACTGCCTCTGCGTTGGCTTCACCGTCTTCTGTAAGAACGGTTGTGGTCCTGTTCTGATCCCATGTGACCTCACCTTAGCTGCATCTGCAAAGACTATTTCCAAGTAAGGACACACATTGAGACCCTAGGAGGACGTGCACTGGGTGGGAGGGTACTACCGACCTCAGTACAGGTGGCTTCTTTACGCCAGGCACCCTGCCAGTTGGCCTGCCAACCACGATGAGTAAGACCCCTCCTGTCTCAGAGTCTCCTGAGGAGATAGACACGTGAATACGTCGCCATGATTCCACAAGATAAATATGTGCTAACATCATACGTTGATTGGGCACTTCCCACATGCCCGGCGCTATTTAAAGAAATGTCCATATAATCCTCTTAGCAACCCTGGGCACTCTTGTCAAGATCCCCACTTCACAGGTGAGGAGACTGAACTCTGGAGAGCACAAGTTGCCTACTGGGGGTCGTGGTGGGGGTGGTCCCAGAGTCCCATCTTTGGCAGTAGAGGTTGTTCCTGTCTCTCTGAGGAGCCGGCGTCCGAGGAGAGGACGGCCAACGGTGCAGAGGCTGGGGGCATGCGGGGTGAAGACCGGGTTCCAGGCAGAAGCCAAGGCCGATGCCAGTGCTGAGTCAGCCAAAAAGCTGCACATGCTTTAAAAGGGTGAAACCTCTGAGCTCAGGGAGGGCTGCCGGGAGCCAGATAAGGTCAGGGAGGGAGGGCCCTTAGGCCCATGCTGAGGAACAGGAATCTGTTACATGTGAACGTCTCAGTCTTGTAATCATGGGACCTGGGGGTTTGAGGCATTCCTTCCAAGGTCTCGTTGGCTGTGGGTGGAGGGTGAGCCGAAGCGTGAAGAGCAGTGGGTTTGGTCAGAGGTGGGGAGGACAGGCTGGGCTCTGGGGTGTGCTGGTGGCACTTGCTGATGAATGTAAAGGGGTAGAAGAATACAAAATGACAGGCACCTAGTGGCTGAGGGGCAGATGGGGGACAATATGCCCCGGGGTACATAGAACATGCCGTGGGTAAAGCGGTGGCAGGAAGAAGCAATGAGCATCCTGGGTTGGGCATCCAGGTGTTTGAGAAGCCGGAGTTCGAATCCCGCCAAGACAACCTAGGGTGAGAGTTCTTCTAGTCAGTGTTGCGTGGGAGTACAGGATCCTAGGTCCAGACCCCGCTGCTCAGCTGAAAGACCTAGGCAGCATGTTCACAATCACACACAGTCCTGTGCTGTGTCTAGAAACCCTGATTTTTTTTCATTACCCTATGCTCTTAGTAGGAATTCTATAAAGTAGTAATAGCTCACATTTCTGAAGCAATTCCTATGTTAACATTTTGCCTCGATTTTTGAAAACTCTCTTTAAAATTCTGTGACGTGGCACACCTCCAGTTGTAGGTAAAAACACTAAGGCTCAGAGGAGCCCAGTGATTCGCTAGACTCTGGTAGCCAGTGCTGACCTCTGCAAGAAAGGACGGTGGCCTGCAGTCTGAAGCCCTATGTGGGTGCCACTGTGCCGCTGGGCCAGGCGACGGCCTCTCCTGCCTCCTTCCGACCTTGGGTTTGTCTCCTCACTGTAGAGGCCTAGCTTCCGGAAGGCGGCCTTCTGCTTCCCCCCTCCATCTAGGTTAACTGGTTCCAGCCTCAGTCCATCTCCTCTTTGTCTCCGTGTTTAAGTCAACTTCACATTTTTCCTCGTCAACCTTTCCAAATAAAAATAGACCTCGCCTTCTGGACTGGGTTGGCAGCTTCCCACACACTTGAGAGCTCTGTGTAAGGTGCCCAGGATGAGTGTGGGCACAGCGGGGCTGACAGATCACTGATGTCTGATGGAGGAAGAAGGGAACCCCTTCTCCCCACAAACCCAGATGCCTCTTCCATTGTTGCTGGGCTGCTCGGCCTGGGCTCTGTAGCCTTGATGTGTATGATTCTCTGGGCTCGTCACAGCTAGGGCACCTGCACAGAAACCAGATCCTAGCTGCTTGCTGTCTATGTCCTGGGGCTGAGGTCTCCCTGTTTCCCTCAGGCCAGAGGGTGTGCCACCTTCCTGACCGACTTCCAGATGCCAGTCAAGGATAGCACAAGCAATAGACCTTTAATAATAACCAAAACATGCAGCCAGCTACTTGCTTTGAAAAAATTATTACTATTCTGTACTTCAGGCCCGGGCGTTAGATCTTTACACCCTCAGAAACAGGTTCAGAGACCGAGGGACTGAAAGGGCTGACTCAGCTTGCCCACTTCGTTTCCAGAAAAATCTGTCTTTCCCATCATATTTCCTTCTCCCCTGTTCTCTTTGATTATAGTTCAAGGAGATCTTAGCACACACACCAACAGGAGCGTCCGGATGATTGCAGACTTTGACGCGAGGAGACTTTTCCTCACCCTCTTCCCCTAGCCATTCTCTCTTCCTCCTCTTCTGCCAGGGCCTGCCAGATTGCCAGAGCCACCCAGGAACAGACTTCCTCTCTAATCTGCTGCATCTGTTCACCCAGCCTACTCCACGCTAATCCTCCAAAGCGTACTGTTTGCCACAAACGGGCAGGAGACAACTGGGGTGAGACCACAGGGCGGGTGCGTCACTTCAGCCACTCACGTGTCCTTTCGTTCTCATGGGCAGCAAGGGAGCCACCTTGATGCCGACAGCCGAGTGACACTTAAGAACCCTTTAGTCACAGGGTCAGCTCCAAGTTCCCAGTCCACACAGCCAAGCCTTTGTCATTTATCCATTTGCGCACATCAATTTTACGCCCGTGACTTAGTTATATTTATCTGGGAATGGTTCAGATTCAAGCCATGGGAAAGTCAGGAGGCTTGCATGATATTTATGGTTCAGTAATTGCCTTACTGTGGGGCCCAGGCTCAGGAGCCTGTCTTTCTCCATTGTGAAACAGGGAGGAATCTTCATGCATGCAAGGTCAGATGTGTTGGAATCTGCTGTTACAAGCCTTGATTTATTTCTTCTCTCCTGTAGAAGTCCGCCCCCCCCCAGCCTTGATCCCCAAAGAACATGTGAGAACTTAGCACCAGTCTCCTATAATCTAAATGTTCAAATATCCACCTTCCAGCCCCAGCCCGCAAATTGAAGCCCTAGGCCCCAAAGAGATGGTATTCAAAACTGCTTCCTCTGCTAGGTAATTAGCTCCTGAGGCCGGAGCCCCAGTGAATGGGATGATTGCCCTTGTAGGGAGAGAAAGAGACACCAGGTCAGCTGCTGCTGCCACATGAGGACACAGCCACCCAGGAAGAAACTTCATCAAAACCAAGTCAGCCATCACCTTGATCATGGACTTCCAGCCCACAGTCCTGTGGGGGAAAAGCCACCCGGTTCAGGGTGGTGTATCAGCTCAAACTGACTGAAACACTGTCCCTCCACTATGTGTTCCTCCATATTCATATGATTATTGACATCAACAAGCATCTAGAAAGATCAGTACGTAAGGTATTTGCCATTGAGAGAGAGAGAGAAAGAGAGAGAGAGAGAGAGAGAGAGAGAGAGAGAGAGAGAGAGAGAGAGAGCACTTAATACTTAGCACCTAAGGGGCTCTTAATTCACTTGCTTCACTTTCAAATTACTCTTTTTAGTGCCTGAATGTACCAAGGAACAACTGTGTGATATAGTCAACTAGTCCCCAGGTGAGCATTATTTCTAGTTTTTTTTTTTTTTTTGCCAGTTATAAAACAGTACACATAGCTTTGCTTCTTCTAGGAGGGAATGGGACATCCGGGTCAAACCTTTGTGTGTTTTAATCATGACAGACATAGCCAAATCACTTCCCAAATGGACCATGTCTGTATAGATTTCCAATCAGAAATGTACAAAAGTCCCTCTTATTTTTAAAATTTTTTTTTCCTTCAGCAACAGGAATTGTAAGTCTCTTTGATGTTTTCCACCAGAGTAAATCTGAGTGAACTGACATATCCTTGAAACTTTAAGTAGTAACTTCCTGACTGCACATGAACCGAGTCTCTTCCTATATGTGTTGACTCTGTGGATTTGGTTTTAGGTCCCTGGCTTGGCTTTCTGCTCAGGTGTTCATCGCTGTGTTACTTGTTTTGCAAAAGTTTCACATGTTTTTCACATGTTTGAACCATTTGCTCTTTCTGCTCTCTGAGGGTCTGTTCTTAGTCTGCCAACTTTGTGTCTCAATCCAGAGGCTGTAACAAAAGACCCTTGACTGGCGCTTTATAAATAACTGAAATTTACTGGATGGAGGCTGAAAAGTCCAAGGTGAACAGTCAATGTCTAGTGAGGGGCTGTTCCTCAGCTACTGCTTCTGAACGCTAACAAAGTGGAAGGTGTGCACTAGCTCCCTCGAGCCTCTTACAAAGACACTAACCCCAGGCCTGAGGACCTCACCCTCATGATGTGACCATTTCCTAAATGCCCCATCTCTTAATGCCATTTCCCTGGGTAAAGTTAGGTTTCCACATATGCACTTGGTAGAAGAAACAGATATTCAGACCATTCATTTTCCATAAAGGGTTCTTCCTGTCTCTGTACTCTACTAAGCCTGTCTGTCCTTCTGCAGCTTTCAAATAAGAAGGCACTCAATCACCTTCGAGGTGGCATGTGTGCCCTGGTATTGGTGTTGTGTAAATGTTCCCAGGTATGTCTTCAGCTCATCTACAACTGATTTTTTACTTATGGGATAAGCGCTTAAAAGTTGCTCAAAGAATGTGTAATATAAGAAAGGTCACACGATCTGATAAAGAAGAAACCTGCGTGTTCTCCACTTACATGCAGGTCCTAGCCTATGATACATATGAAAACAACATATGTTCTCTATGTACGTATGAAAACAAATACACACATGGGTACAGTACAGCATGTAGGCATGAGAACAAGAAGGGGAAAGAAATTATTAGGTGATGAGGAAGGACTGAATGAGGTAATGGACACTTGAGTCATGAAGGAGGTTAGAAAGCTAATTGTTCTTCTAGTTTTAACTCTGACATGGATTTTTTCATTTTTTGGTGGTGGATAAGTGCATAGAAATATCTTTGATAGTGAAAGTATAAAATCCAGTGTGAAGCTCCACAGAACTTCATTGAGGGGTACAGACTTTGGGTCTGGTTAACATCAACATGTGATTCTTTTTTTTTTTATTGGCAAGTTCTTTATAATGAAGTTTTAATACATTTTAAAAAATAGAAAAGATATTCAAGTGGGAAAAAAAAACACAAAGAAAATGTATGGAGAAAGATTTTGTGGCTCTTGACTTGGCAGTAATCCAAAAGCTTTGTACTACACAGCAGTGATGAGGTTTCTGGCAAAGACATTCTTATTCATTGCTGGTAAGACCGTGACCCCTTGGGATGACCCCCAGGGAGGGCAATCTGGCAAAAGTTCAAATGCATATTCCCAGCAGTTGTGTGTTTGGGAAATGATTCTACAAATGCTTTGGCCAGGGGAAAAGGTATATATTTGGGGACACAACTTGTATTGACAGAATATTAAAAGCGACCTCAATAGTCGATAGTAGGGGACCAAGTGTGTACAACTTGATCAAGTGGAAACTAGATCAGCTGCAGTGTAGGTGACAAGAGAGACCTTTGTGCACTTACAAGTATCTTACAGACTCAAGCAGAAGCATGATGGAGTGTGAGAACATTCTACTGTTTGTGCAAAACACCATAGGAAAAAAATCAAGCTCCTTATCCATATAAAAAAACTCCTGGAAGCATCTATCTGGTGAGACGTGAGACT